GTGTCAATCAGTGCCAGGGTGTCTGTCAGTCAGTGTGAGGGTGTCAGTGGTGTGAGGGTGCCAGAGTGAGGGTGCCAATCAGTGTCAGGGTGTCAATCAGTGTCCAGGTGTCTGTCAGGCAGTGGTGTGAGGGTGTCAGACTAAAGGTGCCAGTCAGTGTGAGGGTGTCAGTGGTGTGAAGGTATCAGCCGGCCGGGGTGAGGGTGTCAGAGTGAATATGCCAATCAGTGCCAGGGTGTCAGTGGTGTGAGGGGCCAGAGTGAGGGTGTCAGTCAGTGCCAGGGTGTCAGTGGTGTGAGGGGCCAGACTGAGGGTGTCAGTCAGTGCCAGGGTGTCAGTGGTGTGAGGGTGTCAGAGTGAAGATGCCAATCAGTGCCAGGGTGTCAGTCAGCCAGCGGTGTGAGGGTGTCAGCCAGCGGTGTGAGGTGCCGGTCAGTGACGGTACCAGGCGGTCAGTGCCCCCCGCGCTCCCCCGGCCCCGCCGCGATCCCGCCGCCCCCCCGCCCTCCCCTCACAAAGCCGCGCGGTCCCGGCCGGACACTCACGTCCCCCATCCACAGGCTGGCGGCCATGCTGCTCCCGCAGGCCCCGCGGCGGGTTCAGCGGGGCCGCGCGTTCCGCCTCCCGGCCCGGCCCCGCCGCTGCCGCCGCCGTCCCTCCCTCCGCCCCACCCCCGGTCCCTCCGTGCCCCGGGCCCTCGGTCCCTCCCCCGGTCCCGCCCGGCCCGGCCCGGCCCGGCCCCGCCGCCTCCTCCGCGGCCCCGGGCGGGCGGAGAGAGCGGCGCCCCCGCCGCCGCAGCGACCCCTGCGGGCAGGAGGAGCGAGCGCCGCGGGAGCGAGGGCGTGTGAGGGGAGCGGGGCCGGGCGGGTTCGGGGTGATTTGGGGAGGTTTGGGGTGATTCGAGAGGGGTTTGGGGCTCCTTAGGGAGGGTTTGGGGGAGCTTGAAGAGGGTTTGGGGAGATTTGAGGAGGGTCTGAGGTGATTTGAGGAGGGTTTGAGTTGATTTGAGGAGGGTTCGAGGTGATTTGAGGGGGGGGTTGGGGCTCCTTAGGGAGGGTTTGGAGGAGCTTTGAAGAGGGTTTGGGGAGATTTGAGGAGGGTTTGGGGAGATTTGAGGAGGGTTTGGGTGATTTGAGGGGGGTTTGGGGCTCCTTAGGGAGAGTTTGGGGGAGCTTGAAGAGGGTTTGGGGTGATTTGAGGAGGGGTTCGGGG